ATATTTTTACTGTTCGACTAATAAATTATTCATATTTTTATAGTTCAGATCAATCTCAGACAACGGAGTTCAATGACCCGTTCTGTATATTAGGAATCCTTTTATTCGTTTCTTTTACGTTTCTGCTGACTTTATCCTAAAATTCTCCCTCGACTTTGATAGCGATTGATGTGCTATAAATTCATGACACGGGGGTCACCGATCCCCGAAAGGCATTGACATCACCCTAATACACTGTCGTAACATATGTGCGCACATACATACTTCCGTACGTAATAACATTCGAGGGTAGTAGATCGCAAGATCAGCACAGGTTTTTGTACAAATGTTATGGTATGGTATCTTTTTATTGAGTGTTCGAGTCTGATTCGTTTCGCTGCGTACTTTCCTGTGGAAATCAAGGAGGCAACGACGCGGTGCCGCCACTATGCGACGGAGGTCAAGACACAGCGTAGAAGGCAATTGTTCGATTATCGGGGTCGAGCTCTCGCCACTACTTCGACGAGATGTCCAATTCGAATTCAACCTTCGATCAAAATTTGGTGGTTGCCACCTTAAATCCAATTCAAATCGAGGTAAGAAAAATAGGTAAGATATCTCAGTCTGCTACGAAAAGAATTAGATCCAAAACGAAAAATGAGAAGAAAAGGAATGATCGAGGAAAGAGGAAAATGTCCTGCCTACTCTTTGACCGTGTCATGAATGTCTGAACTGTAGTTGTGGTTGTTAAAATTCTGGTGGAGGTCCAAGCTAAAATTCCCGAGGGTCTCAGCTACCCTAAATAATGTTGCGGCCTCCCATAGTATCAATTTCAACTATAAAGCCAGTTTTACGACTGCGTTTCTGGGATTATAACTAACCCAAGAGAGCTGGGTCTTACAAAGGGATTAAATGGATTTCAAACAATTCTACATAAGAACCTTTCCTATATTTCAAAGGATTGTCCCCTGTTAAAAATGTTTTAGTATCAGTACATCTATGGAGATCCTTTTTATATCACACACACATTTGAATGTAACATTCGACTGTCATTTCCTAATTTATTCTTTAATATAAACATAGTCTTTGATTATAGAGCATCTTGCTTTCTACATAATTCTATGTGATATAAATACTGCATTGAATTATACATTTAATGAATTGTTAAAATATTTAATAAAATGGGAAGAAGGAAAAAGACGAGTTGGATGTAATTACA